CCCCAAAACCCCAAAACCCCAAAACCCCAAAACCCCAAAACCCCAAAACCCCATTCCTTGATAAGATTTTTGAAATCTTTAATTAATTGGTAATGGAAGGATCAAACCACTTTGAATATCTTGTGATCGGAGCTGGCTCTGGAGGAATCGGCTCTGGAAGATGGACAGCTGCCAAGCACGGCACCAAGGTCGGCATCATTGAGTGCCAAGCTCTTGGAGGAACCTGCGTCAATGTTGGATGTGTCCCAAAGAAAATAGTAAGCGTCATAATTATTTAGCCAACACAGTAATGTTCAATGCAGCATCTTTCCTCGAAAATCGTGAGCTTTATGAGGGATATGGGCTTTCAGCAGCTTCTGAATTGAAACTTGACTTCCCAACTTTGAAGAAGAACAGAGATGCTTATATAGAGTGGCTCAACGGCATCTATGGAGGAATGATTGCCAACAATTCCATGACTCTGATTAAAGGATGGGCTAAATTCGTCGATAATCACACAGTCGAAGTTGACGGAAAGGATAGATACACTGCTGATCACATCCTCATCGCTGTTGGAAGCAGACCTGACAAAGGTGGTTTTGAAGGAGATGAATACTGTATTGATAGTGACGGATTCTTCGCTCTAGAAGACCTCCCAAAGAAAGTTATTGTCTACGGAGGTGGATACATTGGTACCGAACTTGGACAAATCTTACACGCCTTGGGCACAAAAGTTATCCAGGTTGTCAGAAGTGAAATCTTGAGAATTGCTGATGATGATATCAGAGAGCAGCTTTACAAGCTTATGGACCTCAGTGGATACGAATACAGAAAGAAGACCACCATTGTAAAGGTAGAAAAGACAGACTCTGGTCTCAGAGTTCATCTCAGTGATGGGACTATAGAAGAGGATGTAGATGAATGTATTGTCGCCACAGGAAGACCAGCAAATGTTGAAGGTCTTGGTCTTGAAAACACTGATATTGAGCTGACTAAAAAGGGACATATCAAAGTGGACGAATTCAACGTCACCACTGTACCAAATGTTTATGCTGTCGGAGACGTCACAGGAGCTGCTGAATTAACTCCAGTTGCTATAAAGACAGGTAGAACACTTGTTGAAAGATTGTTTAACAACAGACCAGACTTAAGGATGGATCATGATCTTATCCCAACTGTCATCTTCTCCCATCCTCCTATCGGAATGATTGGACTAACCGAGAGCCAAGCCAAAGAGAAATACGGAGAGGAAAATATTGCCACTTACAAATCGACTTATGTGAACATGTTTTACTCTTTGATCCAAGACAGAGAAAAGAAACCAAAGAACATGATCAAATACATTGTTAACAAGCAAGAAGATGAGAAGATTGTTGGCCTACACCTCATCGGTAAGGACTGCGATGAGATGCTCCAAGGAGCAGCAATCGCCATTAAAATGGGAGCCACTAAGAAAGACTTTGATAGGACAGTCGCTATTCATCCAACAGGATCTGAAGAATTAGTACTTGCTGATCCATACGTCTAGATCGTCCGCATTAATCAATTTCAATGAATCGTTCGGTGAAAGGGGTTTTGGGGTTTTGGGGTTTTGGGGTTTTGGGG